AAAAAAAAAAAAAAAAAAAACCCAAAAAACAAAAACAAAGGATACTTTGATTTATATATGCCCCTTGCATCAATTTCTTTAAAGAAAAACAGGAGACTAAGAAAATAGAAATTTTGAAATTATTCCTTATTTTGCAATTTACATGTGTGTGTGACTGGAGACTGAAATCAGCACCTTTATAGAGACCTGCATTCTCAGCACTTTTTTATTTACATTCTGAGCTCAAATTTGTGATCCTCCTGCCTCAGCCTCCCCAAACGCTAGAATTATAAACATACAACAGGCTACTTGGGCAAGCAACTTAAATTTCAAATTCAAAAATTCAAAGTAAATTAAATATGTAATCATATGTAACTCTTGATTGATTTTGGCTTTATATCAAGTTTTAAAAGTAAAACCTTGTAATACAAGCCCAGACAATAAGGAGTCTTGGATAACTTTAAATGAAAATAACACATTACAGAATGCACCCTGCAGTCTTAATTTATAGTCAGTTACAAAGTTAAATTGTCAGTTCTAACTTACTGTGACATCTAAATGTTTTAAATTAAAAATTTCTTCAAGAACATTTCATCTGCAGTCCCCTAACTGGCCACCACTCACCCTCTCAGATGTCCCAGTGACTCTGAACTCAGGGTCACCAAGCAGTCTCTACTTCTCACACACTTCCCGACGGTGAGCTGACTTTGGCCTGATGGAAAGTTCTAGTCGTTATCTTGGTTCCATGTTCTGAAGCTCCAGCAAATAACTTCAATTCTTTTCATATTTCCCAAATCATTCCACTTTCCAGTATTAGCTAATCCTCTTGGGATGATACCCCCAAAGCGTTAGAGCTGACCACTTCTACCACGACAGTAGAAACAGTCCATCAGCGCTCCGTCACCATCACACTCAGCAGACAGTGCAGTCTCTCTCCCTCCCATGCTCACTGCACTCTGTCTTTCCCCCCCCAGAGTAGCCAGCATCTCTTTGCTAGGGAAGATACCCCACTGTGTCCCAGTCAGCTGCTCATCCCTCAGCCCTCTCCTCAGTCCTCAAGAGATCATTCAGAACCCCGGCATGGCCCATAGCATCTATACCAGCTGGCTCTGAGTCCATTTGCTGCTGAGTCTTCTCTCCCATACTTAGCATGTTATATCTCAACTTTGTTCCCATTCCTCAAGTGAACCAGCTCTTTCCCTCAGCAAAGCCCACACAAGTGCTGTCCTGTGAAATGCTTTCTCCAGTCTGCTTACTATTTAAGAATTACGGATTATTCAAGTTTCAGATTGTATGTCCTGTATGTGGATATACATTCCCCAAGTCCCTCTTGTCCTTCTTTAATCGTTCATGGACCCATTTACTGCCTTCATTGCTTTTATCATAAATTGTTTTATATACTTAATCCTGTAAATAATATAATTATCACTTTTATAAGTTTCATGGTATCAATCATCATATTGCATTAATAATATTATCATTAATATCCAATTTATTGAGAGATTGCTGCATGCTAGGTAGCATGCAAAGTGTTTCAGAAGCATTATCTTAATTAAATTCATAAAGAAGTTACTATTTTACACACATATTACAGATGAGAAAATTGGGCTTGGGAAAGTCATATCGCTTGGAAGAAAAATTAGAAACCAAATGATCTCAGAAGCTAGCAATGCTCCGCTCTTTACACTATGGTCTTGCTGACTCTCTCGCTAGTCTAGTAGCCAAAGAAGCATGTGTGCTGACAGCCAAGGAACCTAGCAGAAACCATTATGGTTCTGTTGCCCAGTTTCACAAATTCAAAACAGTATCTGTGAACCTTCTCTGTGCTGCACTGCTCTTCCCCTGCCCTTTGCGACACACAAATATTAAAAGGAGAAGTGAATTGAGCCAATATGGTACTTTTGTTTCGACATCTCTGGAGACTTCTTCAATTTTTCTAAGGTACTTTTCAAGAAAATAAATGACAGAACACATGGTGGAGATAAGCTGCTTAAAGGCCTTTGTCTGGATACATCAGCAACAGCATGATCCAAGAGGTGGAATTCAGATGCTTTACAGAGAAGTTTCAACTAATTTCCCATAAATATGAATAATGATAATTACCAAAATTACTGCAGTATTTCACATTTGCCAAGCTCTATATCACATGGTTTCCAACGTTCTTTGAAGAACCGTCGTATCAGCCTAATGAGGCTGGCTCTGTTACAATCTCATTTTCTAGATGAGGACGCAAGAGTTGCAGAAACTCTTCAGCCAGCATCTGATTAGTAAGACTTCACCTCAGCTAGGCCTGTCTCCAGAGCCAGAGGCTTGTAATGCAGTAGTCAGTATCACTCCAAACAAGGAGATGTTTAAGAAATAATCATACAAATAGATGAGGAGTAACTATTAATACAAAGAAGTTACAGAAAGTAACTATTAATACAAAAAGCCAGGAGCAGAAACCAAAGAGAAAAGGGAACAGCTACAGAAATACATAGGCACAGCCTACAGGACATGGGGCTACATGCAAGGACAGATACTAACCCAAGGTTTAAGAGACCTGAGAAGGGGTATGGAAAGGAAATTTTATCTGGGGCAACTAGGATTTCTATGATCTTAAATAATGAGGACTTGGTTCAGGTCAATGGAGCAGAAGACATTATCTTGGGCCAACTAAGTACCAAGGGTGGTCCAAAAATAGCAATCAGCCATATAGATGAGTTATTCATTCACACTCTCACATATATTAAAGGTCTATCCTGTGACAGACACTGCTGTGGCCACTGAATCAAGGTGACAACATTCTTGCTTTTGAGATTTTGGTCTGTGGGAAAGAGAGAGACAACTGCCAAATAACTGTGTATGCATATATATGGTATTCTGGTACTATCTGGGTGCAGTGAGTTTTATAAAGCAGGCAAGGGAGATAGAGAGCACCAAGAGGTGGTAGCATTGTCAGGGTGGGCTCCTTGATCACGGGACATTTCAGGAGAGACACAAGGGAAGTAAAGGTCAGTGCACAAACCTGAGAGAAGACAGTTTCAGGAAAAAGGAACAGAAAGGACAAAGGTAGAAAGAGATGGCTAGAGCATAGGGAACTAGAGGAGAAGTAGAGAGGGGCTAGGTGAGAGAGAGTTCAGCAGGGACAGCCCTGTACCACAGACACTGGTCAGAACTTTGCAAGTGCGTGGGGATAATGATTCTCATCAGGCTATGACAGTGAAGGCGACAGCTTTTGATTTTCTTTGAAAATTTGTTATAAAACACAATACTATTATAAAGGAATAAAAATAATTTATCACCTAAAATGGGCTTTTCCAGTTTCATGTGTCCTTGTCGTGACTTTTTCCATATTTGTGCTTATTTTTACTTTTTTTTTTCATAGTTACATGCTCATTTATTAACTTAGGTCCCTATCGCATGCATTTCACAGGTTAATACGAAGGCTTCCAGATAAATATTTTATTTATGGCAGGTATTTATTTTTGTTGTTGTTGTTTTTTTTTTTTTTTTCCGGGGGTTTACTTGGTCCT